ACTTTTGGATCGTAATTGTCTTCTTCTTCATACCCGAAACAGCCCGGACTTTTTTCCGGGCGGAAATGTGCAAGAAGCCAATTTGAAATAACAGCTGTTGTTTGTTTACATCCGATAGCAAGTTTCGTAAAATACAAAAATTAAAAATAGCACTTAAGGTTCAGAAATGTAGGTAGGAGGGCAATAGCAGCCAAAATATTCTTTACTAGGCTTATAATTTTATTTTTAATTGTAAGCTTCAGTGATATGTAGATATGAAAATAAATAAATAAAATTCGATAACAAAATGCTTTACTTAGACAGAACTATACATTTTAAAGCAATCATTAAACATAAAGTGAATTTTAAAGTTAAATATTTGAGAAAACGGCCCTAAGTGTGTTTATATTCTCAATATTTTCTTCTTTTTTTTGTTTTTGATAACATCCCGGTTATTTTGGAACAGTTATTATTATTATTACATTACATTGACTATCGATGGTACCGCTTGACACTATCGATAATATTGCTGCAAACTATCAACGAGTAGTGATGGTTTTTTCTTCAACAGGAAAACTATCGATGGTGGCACTATCGATAGTTTTAAAACTCTAAGGGAGGCGACATTTGACCAGTTTCGGCTTTTTTTCCTTGTTTGTTTAATGTTTATTATTTTTTTATAAAAATACGGCTCACTATCTCACAAACACCATATTGATGGCTGGGTAGAAGATCGGCTTATCTCGGCAGCCAGTTCGAAAACGTCCTATCCAAAAAACTTTTCAAGAACACCCTCAGAATTTGGTTCAAAAACTGTATCTCAACTGAAAATATATTGAAAACACGTTCAGATAAGGTGTTTTTGAACCGAATTATGAAATACGGCGTTCTTCAATTCAATTCTGAAACGAGGCGTTCTTGAAATGTTTTTTGAGATAGCGCGTTTCGAACTGGCTGCCGAGATAGGTCGATATTTCACTTAGCCGTCAATATGTACTGAGAATTTTCTTGATATCAGTGTGACCAGATAAGCCTTTTTGGGCTAGATTTATAGTTTACTTGAATGCCATATAAAAAAGCTTTAGTGTTTCAAAAACTACCATTTAACCTTCAAAAATTATAATGGTAGTGCAAAGTAATATTTCTTTGATACATTTTTTTTTAGGTTTTCAAAAAAAGGTTAGTACGAAGGAAATTTGCAGTAAACAATACTTTTTAATTCGTATTAATTTGTTGGCGTACTACCAGTGTACTCTAATGTTGAAAATAATTATTTTTATTTGGTTTGATGTCCCGTGATGCAATCTGCCCGTTTTTCTTATCCTAAACCGAATTTCTTTTTGCATACCTTAACATAATGTATGTAGCTGTTGGTCTGATATATTTTATTTAGAGGGATTAAAAAATATATATTTAAAGAAAACCGCTTTCACTGAACTTGTCGAGTTGGTAGATTATACAGATTCCTTTTGACTTCAATTTTCATAAGATATTGCTTTTTGTGACAACTTGTAAAATGTATTAGCTTTGGTTTTTGTAATCATCTGGTCACACTGCTTGAGAGCTCGATACTTAGGTGTTACTATTAGGGATGTCGCGAATGTGGAATTTCAGACATCCGTCATCGTTTTTCTATAAGCATTTGAATTATTGGAATCACGAATGATGAGGGTCTCCGAGCCGCTTAGTTCCCGGGTGGTTCCTTCAAAAGCTTCACCTGCAATGAATAGCTTGAAATTAGTTTTGCTTTTCCTATTAGCAGGCAGTCACAATTGATTACTCACCGCTGTCGGTCCCATAAGCTATAAAATCCGTTTTGTTTTTCGATTACATGCGCTTATTGGGTTTTCATATTTTGAGGCAGATGAACGCAAATTTTCAACATATATTGCATGCAAGTCCAACTCGCCAATAGATAATAAGAGAGAACAAATAATTACACTTATATATCCAAGAAAAAGTAGAAAAACCCAGCGATTAATCCAGTTTTTTCAACAGATCTTTGACATATGACATTCGATAGTTACGTAATTCTTACCCAATTAAAGGTCAGACCTACAGTTATTTAATTATTTAAGCATCGAATCCCTTTATAGCTAGACGTTGAACATTTCTGCTGGAAATCTCTATTGAAGGATCTTACTCTTTGACTTTAAATGGCAAAAGAAGGGGGACGTAGAGGGACAATTTTGCCACAGAACCTTTTAGCCAAGGATCCAATGTACATATGTATATCCCTATGAAAAAAATATTTCCCGACAAGAAAAAAAATACTGTTTTTTAAATTTTTTGCTAAAAGGGCCGCACTTGAAACAATTCAAACGCAAATCAAAATTAATGCAGAATCTCCGCGGTTGCGAATGTCAATGCGAATATTCGCAACAACCCCATTACCTACATATCATACATAGAATAGTTAACTGTACCCATCAGAGAAGCGCCGAGCACTAGTTAATCTCCAATGGCACCCCTAGGAGTTGAATTGAGACGACTGTACCCTAGTGGAGACGGGTTTTGGGGCTTCTTAAAAATTTAATGCTCTACAAAAGTGTCCATTGCGGCGTTACTCTAACTCCCAGCAACGAGGTAGTACGGGTCACGAAACTCAATTTTTTTTATGAAATTCTCGTTTTTTCCCCCTATCTCGTAAAGGGCAAGAGCTGTAGATAAAAATATAATAGACATAGTAAATAGGGAGTAAATTATGTGAAATTTTGTATTTATGACTTTTACGTTTCCCTCTCTAAGCCCAACCGTTTTTTTTTATCAGCTGTCAGCATGACTTTTTTCTACCTGCCTTCATATAGTCAAAACAATCTGGAACGGCTGTACCGATTTTTGTGAAATTTCGAACACCTACAGCAGTCTTTCCAAGGATGGTTATAGTCTAAAAAAAATTTCGATCTAGAAAGGGGGCGTGACACTTCCAATACAAACCGAATTTTTCGTGCTGCATATCACTTAAAGTATTTTACCATAAATAGAACTTAGTATGGGTAAATATGAAGTCAATTTATTGCTCAAGGAAGAAAATGGCGGTTATTGGAAAAAGAGGGTGTGGCATCTCCCATACAAACTAAATATTTCATATTGCATATCTCGGGAAGTGTTCATTGTAGAGTACTCGAACATGGTATGGAGATAAATATATGAAAGCAATCGAATACTCATGGAGAAAAGTGGTAGGTACTATTTGAGAACGGGGTGTTGTGTATGTTTGATATGGTCTCTGGATAGTTTCAGCTCACAATTCGACCCGCCAGGTGGAGCTGGAGTCGAGTTATCACTAAAAATTTTATTTGTGATCCGATTTGGCTTATATTGGAAATATGCATTAAAGAAAAATATTGCTGTAAACAAATTTTCCCGCCAAGTGATGCGGTTTGGCCCATATTTGGGATACGTATTGATAATGGCAAAAAAGAGTAACCAGGTGGCGATGGAGTCGAGTGATTACTAAAAAACGTCAAGTGAGATAAAGAGTCGTGAATGATAACTTCAATCTTCTGCACCACTGAGTATGTCGAACTCCCGTCTGTTCCGATTAGCACAATAGTTGTGATTTACAAATATTACTATATCTCAATCTCAAATGACCACCGTTAGATTAACCACCAGAGCCATTGTGCCCCTAGCTAAGACATTCGTCCGAAATAAGTGTACATGTTCTTGGGTTTCTGTAGAACAATCCATTTTGAAATAACCACCAACTATACTATACAGCTTCAGAGACAGATTCAACTAGGGTTGCCAACCGTACTATAATATACAGCATTGTACTATTTTTTGGGTCTGCGTACTACTTATGTATATATTGTTGGAAAAAAATATATGTAGTATGCAAAAATACTATATTTCTTCAATTATAAATATAAATATATTTCAGTAATTTTCAAGATAGAAATGTGTTAAGATGGATGGCATTTATACTGAAATAACAATATTAAAGGAAATATACTTTAATACAAAGGGTCCACAGATTAAAAATGGCAACATTTTTAAAAATACTTAGGGCCAAATTCACAGTGCGTAGTTAACTCAAAATCGATAGTATTCAGTGCAAAAATCTGTAGCTAACTGTCGATTCTGAGTTAACTCCGCACTGTGCGAATTTGGCCCTTAGAAAGATTTACCAAATTTACTTAAAATTATTTCACTTATGCTCTCTATTCCTGCAACTTCGGCATTTGAAGAAAGATTTTTTTCTATTACGATTATGAAATAGTGAGATGGGAGAAATAAAGCGACCATCTCACTAATAAAAAATTTACTTTTGATTTATATTAATTTAAATCTTGATTGCGATGAAGCATATGATACTTTCAAAGAAATATATTTTTTATAGAGGAAATGCATACGAAAGAAAAAATATGTGCACTTAAAAGGCATTTTTCTTTTCTTTAAAAAAAAAAATACTATATATATTTGAAGTGTACTATATTTTTTCAGATTTTTTTTTTAAGTACTATAAATTTCTTAGAAAATGTTGGCAACCCTCGATTCAACATTGAACCGGATCAGTGTTGTCGCCAGGGAGTGAAGAGGGCAAAGTTCTTCAAATTCATTTCGTTGTGCGATTAACCGTGCTATAAAACGCCAGATCATTGGGGAATTTCAGGAACTCCTTCGCGGATATAACACTTGCCTTCCGACGACCCCCAAACCATAATATTAGCAGATAAATCTTGAACGTGAATGGTTGGTTAAAATGTTGTTGAAATGTTTCAATAAAAAAATTAATTTTGGGAGGGACGAAGTTCGCCGGGTCTGCTAGTATATTACTTAAATGGAAAGATATACCTACCTCCAGAAAAATTTTAGCCGTTAGGTCGATTTTTCTTTTTTTGCTTACCACTAATAAATGCTTGTTTTAAGAAACCCGTTTTTAATTACGTGTTTGTTTATAGCCAAGAACTATTTTTATATAGTTTGTAATTATTTGTAAAAAGAAAATTTGTGTATATGTATGTATGTATGTATGTATGTATGCTTATATGTAAGTTCATTCGCATTCCACTTACCTTTAGTTGGCATATTTTCGCTGGCGATGGCAAACGATTCTTTGCAACATATGGCGACCAGCAGTTTCATGAATAATATTAGTTTGAGAGGCGATAAAATTGTTCGTGGCATCTTTCAGCAGTCGGTAATATTTAGCAGCACAGCTGTGCAAAGGAGGTCATACAAATACGTGAAGTATTGGGGAGGGTACAGATGCGCAACTCCGTTGGTTTGTCACAGGCTGCAAAGTAGGTATGAGAGTGAATGCAGTTGCTATTGGATTAGTCAACGGGTACGCTAACGACGCCTTAGGACGTATTTTACGCGGTTGCTAGTTGGGGCAGCGGCAAGCACTTTGTGAAAGAATCGATATAGGCGACGAAACCGTTGGGTGTGGAGTCATTAGTGTTGATATGAAGATTAAAAAGGATGTGCTAATTGTTGTTGTGTTATTCACATCGGCACTGGAATTATCAATGCAAATGTGCTGACACTGCACTTCCTTCGATTGATTCGCCTGCATTAGCTGCTTGCTGGAGATGAAAGCTTCTACATCCACTCCGTCAATATGGACGTATTTCTTTTTTTTTATACACTTAACGGTTTATTTTTTGTTCAATTTGTGTGTACATATTTCTCAGACCTATCTTAGCTTAGCATTGCCGCGTCCGGCTGGTTGCAGCCGGAAATGGCAGGTCAAAGGAGTAAGTTGCCTTCTAAAGTAGCTAAGCTATTAAATTTATTTCAGCGTACCTATTAATTTGAAATCAAAATGCAGGAAGAAATCAAACTGGGTGTGTCTCTGCTTGTTTTTGTTTTTATTTTTATTTTTACTAATGTTTTTGCCCTGTGCCCCGCAGGAGGTGGTGGGCGCGCAATAGCAATGAGTTTTGTTTACGTTCTCTGCTGCTCTTAGCTGTGTTTATTTACCTTTTGTTGACATTCGCAGCTGACTGCACACACGCTTATGCACAAACATACACGAAAGTTTATAATTTTTGTTTACCAATATTAGTTGCAAAATTCTTTTTGTTCACAGCGAAATTTACCTACTTGTTCGAATCGTAAGGTGCAAAATTTAAAACAGATTAAGTTACAGTTAAATAATCGCAAAACACCAGAACTACTCTAGCCGATAAGCGCATTAATAAATAATAGAAACAAAAGACCGAAATACTTGTTACGATTTTTTTTTTTACTTTTTTTAATATTTTTATTTCCACCTCACTTAACACTTTCACGCTTTGCAGGCCACTTTTGCTTCATCAATTTAACACTTTTCGCATTTTGTTTTCAAACCTTTTTATCGCGCAGCTTTGTTCTCTTTAGCTCGCCTTTCAGATATATTTTTACTAGTGCTTTTTCTTGCTTATTCTTACCACTTAGCGCATATATGTGCATATACATACATATGTATATGCCTATATTTTTTTACTACACCACAGAAACAACTTTGCTAAACTTACACACTTTTATTTCCGCTTCTGCTAGTCGCGTAAGAATTTCAATTCAATTTCCGCAATTTCACTATTTCTGCACCGATTAACTCTTTCGATTTTTCTACACGCTACGAAAAAACGATTAATTAGCAGATAGCAGAGACCAGGCATTGAAGAAAAGAAACAAACACGCATCGATCAAAAACACTGCGACGCGGAGCAATCTGAAAACTCCCATTCAATATTCTCCGGTGTCTAATTGAAAACTGAATTGAAGAAAGCAAGCAGACCGATTGGATGGCAAGAACTGATTAGGGTTAGTACTCCACTATGATCGCAGTACATTTAATGGGATTTTCGATAGTATTAAAAATTGACTAAACTTGTCCGCTTTATGCCAGATCTACTTAAACAGCGCTGGCACTACCAAAAATTATTCACATTAATTGTCTTTTGTTTAACTTACGACACATTTACTTGTATTGAAGCAATGGTAATGTGTGGTTTTAAAAATAATTACGAAGGAATTAACTTTCAACTGTAGTTTTACCTAAATGTAATATGCATACGTACATCTATTTATACATCTATATATGTATTTCTAAACGGCATTATTTTTTTTTGGAAGTGTCACAACTCACATAATTTCTAACAGATCCAACCATTAACGACAGTATAAGATAATACATATATGGCGCAAGTTCGCTTAAGTATCACACTTATTTAAGATATAAGGGGATGACGCTATGATCAAACCTTAACCAGCTTTCTTATTCTGGTCGAAAAATATGTGTTATAGCGAAAGGCGAATAAAAAATCGAATACCAAATTTTATTATCTGTTACGATTTAGACCATATTTAGTTGGAATTAGACTTGCTGGAGTTCCAACCCTGCCACGATTTCAACCCTGCATTAAAATCAGCTGATTGTCTGTTGTTGTCAAACAAATGTCACGCTTATTATTTACAAATTGTGATTATTTAAGCGTGAGCTGTAGATGGCGCCCGTTGCAGTAAATTTGTCATATTCGAATTGCCTACATCTAGGCTGAGTCAAATGCTTATCTACTACATTTAAACTTTTCAGCCTCATCTGTGAGACATATTTCTCTTGCGGAAGCCGTTAATACAAAATTTTATTTGATCAAAAGATAAGAATTATCTGTTATTATACTTAATAGAAATAATTAATGAGCGTTTTATGTAACAATTATCAAAGCTAAGTACATATTGCTAAAACTTTGACATCCTTACCAGACACGACAAACGCAAACTCCAATACATTCAAACAAAAATTGCTATTTCACCAACACACTCAAAGCCACATGTCCAAATTTTGTTTTCCTTCAATTCACGTAGATTGTTTTTTATATTGCTTCTTTGCTTTGCAAAAGTTGCTCATTTACACACGGCGATTTTTGTTGCCGCAACTCGACGTTTGTAGGAGAGAGCGCGACGAGGAAAGGAGAGGGGCACCGAGTTGCTCGTGCTCAACACGATCCAAAAAATAAAGGTCGCGCCATTCGCGGACCGCTAACCCTCTCCTCGTTGATTTGACAGCATCCACCCAATCGCTGACGTCATAAAATACTTTTGTTTACATTCACTGTTGCCAACTTGATGCTTTTCGCACCAAATTTAGTGGGTATTGAAAACGCGAACATTTTTGAGTTTGGTGCTGGGTGCGTTTTTGGTGCTTTTGTTATTAGTTTGAAGACACCAAATTATAAAATCTTAAAAAAATGGAAGCAAAATTTATAGCAATCATAAGCGTGGTAAGCAACTTCACAAAAATTTAAATAAAATCATGGCACAATCGTAAGCGACAACAAAATATGTGGCAGCACCTTCAATCAAGCTAGAAGAAATCGACCGTCGTGCAAGAAACATTGTTTTTATTAATTTGAATCGGCATCCTTACAATATAATTATGTATGCATATAAAGTCCATAAAATACACCAATAAATATTTGGATCTTTTTCAAATTCAAACCTTGGCAATACTGCCTTTTGTTCGATGCTCCCTCTTTTTCTTGTCGAGTTCGTCTTGCTCTCTCATTCTGGCATTTATTGACGTCACGGCCAGTTACTCTCAGCGCGATTGGCGCAATCTTGTATTCTATCATTCTTGAGCACGCAAGAATGATAGAATACAAGATTGCGCCAATCGAGCTGAGAGCAACTGGCCGTGACGTGTAAAAACACCAGAATGAGAGAGCAAGATGAACTCGACAAGAAAAAGAGGAAGCATCGAACAAAAGGCAGTATTGCCAAGTTATGAATTTGAAAAATCACCAAATTTTTATTGGTGTATTTTATGGACTTTATATGCATACATGATTTTATTCAAAGTAATAAACATCAATGTTTCTTGCAAGACGGTCGATTTGTTCTGGCATGATTGAAGGTGCTGCCACATATTTTGTTGTCGCTTATGATTGTCACTGTGCCATGATTTTGTTTAAGTTTTTGTAAAGTTGCTTACCACACTTACGATTGTTATAAATTTTGCTTAAAGTTTTTTTAGAATTTTCTAATTTGGTGTCCTCGGACTAAAACCAAAAGCACCAAAAACGCACCAAGCACCAAACTCAAAAATTTTCGCGTTTTGAATACCCACTAAAGTTGGTGCGAAGAGCATGAAGTTGGCAACAGTGAATGTAAACAAAAGTATTTTATGACGTCAGCGATTGGGTGGATGCTGTCAAATCGACGATGAGAGGGTTAGCGGTCCGCGAATGGCGCGACCTTTATTTTCTGGATCGTGGGTTGCACGTTCATTATGGTTTTCATGGCTATTGCCAAGACGAAATGAGAATTTTGTGTATAGCAACAATTGTCTAAAATTTTTGTATATGACAACGCCGAATTTGCTGCAGTTTGACCAAACAAAATTAGTTTGCTCTGAGAGTCGCCAAACTCGCTCTCTCCGAGTTTGCTGCAACAACAATTGCACGCAGTTTTCCAAACAAAAGTTCTGCATAACACCGATCTAAATGAAACGAGCAACACCAAAAGGGAATGTGAAAAATCGCGTCGACAAAAGTTTCCGTATATAAACACAGCCTATTCTTTATTTCCGTTCTTAACATTTGCCATTTTGCACGTGGAGGTAAGCTAAAATTTTAATTTAAAAGATTTTCTGGTGCGAGCGGTTGCAGTTGATGAGAAGTTTCCTGTTTTAAATTTTATTTTGTATAAAAAAGAAACAAAATTAAATAAAAATACCAAGGTTAAAGGCAAGTACAAAGTAATACTGAAAATGCAAAAACGCCATTTTGCTAATTGCTTGAGCGAGGAGAAGAAAACCTATGAGGAAAATGTAAAAATATGTATATAAAAATGCTCTTTGAACTTGCTGAAGGAACTATATTTGGGGAACATAATCATGCCTTTCCCGGTAACCCACGAATGACTTGCGCGGGAAATGCGAATCGAATTGAGAACTTTTGGTAATCTCGGACCACAAACGGTGAGCAATTTTCGTTGCTGGTTAAGAAAATGAAGCTGAATGTTAAAAATATTGTTCGGAATTCCAAATTTATACTGATTGAGGATTGTTGGGTATACGGGCTAAGGAAAATTTACTAAAAATAACGTTTTTGTATTTAATTACTATTCGTAACATTAAAACACGTCGTTTTATGTCTTAATTATAAAATAAAAATTAAAAAACAATCCTTGGAAGCCTATGCTCCCAATATTTACTATCATTGATTTCATTTATTTGTTTACCGACCAAAAAGGATATGCTCATTTATTTTTTCGAAGCTATTATACATATATATTATTTGCAATGATTCCATTTTTATATCCGAGCGCACTTGTGCACAAGGGTATTATAACTTTGTTCACATAACGGTTGTTCGAAACAGGCAAAACGAATCGAGATAGATGTATACATAAATGATCAGAATGAAAAGAGAAATCGATTAATCGGTGACTGTCTGTCCGTCTGTCCGTCCGTCCGCCTGTGCACACGATAACTTGAGTAAAAATTGAGATATCTTAACGAAACTTTAGTACGTGCACTTCTTTCTAGCGTAGGACGGATGGTATTGAAAATGGGCAAAATTGGACAATAACCACGCCTACCTCCCATATAACGGTAATTTAGAGAAACGCGAAATCTTCGATATTTTAGAAACTACTGAAGATTATTCACTCAAAATTGATATTTGCAATAATTTTTAGACGAAAAATAAGAATATTACATATTTTTGGAAAATGGGCGTAGCCACGCCCACTTATGGATACATGTGTATATCTTGGTAACCGCTGCACCAATTTCTTCCAAACTGGGCACAGTTGTTAACCTTGGTATAACATACGAAATGGCCGAAAATTTTTAAAATCGAACAATAACCACGCCCACATCCCATATAACGGTAATTTAGAGAAATACGAAATCTTCGATAAATCAGTAATTATTGAAGCTAATTTACTCAAAATTGATACACCCCGGTTTACCATGTAGCGGTAGCTTTCGGAAAGTTGAAAAACATATATTTAATACTTGCGCCGGGTATTTAATGTTCGGCTCCGCCCGAACTTGGACTTTCTTACATGTTTCTTATAGAAATTGATTGCACGCAGTTACAAATAAAGCTGTCACGTTCCACAAGCTAATCCGAGATGTTTTGACCGATTTTTATCGAATGTTAAACGCGAGTGGCTATTCGTTGCCAGAGTCTGCGACAGAGAACTATCGAGATGTTTTAACAACCGCTGGTCAGCAGCGAGGCCGAGATAATTTGATTTATTACTTCAGCTTAAGCACGATTATTTTCGAGTGGGAATTCGTCTACGAGAGAAAACATCGAGAACAATCAAGATATTTGAACAATCCGGACAATCGACTTAAACATCACGGACTCGCCCATCACTATGGACACATATGTATGTATGTCAGATCCTTGTCAAATTGTTGAACCACAAGGCATAAATCCCCTTATACCTGAAAAACTGGTTCTCAATAAAATCAATGCAATAACAACTTCTTCCAAGCCATTGAAAATATTCATTTTGTTAGGTTCCCGTTGCGCTTGCTTTCGCCTTCGGCCGGGCTTAGTGATTATAAGGCTTAAAAAGTATAATTCACCTTTCATTTCACCTGCCATTTATTGTGCATATAACTCCGTCTACGCCATCCACCACGCATATCGGAATTTACAAAAAAAAAGTGCATAGTAAAAACCATTTTTATTAATAAACTTGTTCTCGGAAGCGAGACGTATTTGCCGCAATAAGAAGAGAGAAGCCGAAATACGTGAGTGCGAAGAGCTTGGAATGCTGGCCGACATGAAGAAAACCCGAAAATTGTACCAGAGGGTTAGGCGACTTACGGAAGGTTTCAAGACCGGGGCGAACTCCGGTATGAACAACAATGGCGACCTAGTGACCGATGTCCAGAATATACTTAAATTGCGGAGGGAACAATTTTACAGCATAATGAATGGTAGCTGCGCCGAAAGTAGTGAAGAAGACGAACCCGAATCCCCAGTCGATGAAGATGGATTAGCTGTCCCACCGCTTGACTATGACGAGGTACGAATAGCGATTATGCGGCTGAAAAACAACAAGGCTGCTGGAGCTGACGGCCTGCTAGCCGAGCTATTAAAGTACGGCGGTGAGGAGCTGATGACGTGCATGCGTCAGCGCGTATGCAGAATATGGTCAGATGAACTCATGCCCGACGACTAGAATTTAAGTGTGCTCTGCCCGATCAACAAGAAAGGCGACCTATCCGAGCCGTTTGATAAGACAAGGGGACTCCCTTTCGTGTGATTTCTTTATCTGATGTTGGAGAAGATAATAAGAGCCGCAGAACTGAACCGCTCAGGCACAATACTTTACAAGAGCGTACAATTGCTGGTGTATACTGACGACATCGATATTATCGGTAAAAACAAGGGCTGTTCTGCCTTGTCGGGATTGGATAGAGAAGCAAAGCGAATGGGTCTGGTGGTGAACGAGGACAAAACGAAGTGCCTCCTGTCATCACACAAACAGTCAGGGCATACGCGTCTTGGCACCCACGTCACTGTTGACAGTTACAAGTTTGAAAAAGTAGACCTTCGTTTATTAGGGAACCAGCATTAACACCAATAATAATATCAGCCTTGAAATCCAAAATAGTGCAGCGAACTAAAATTCAGCGGCTCAGCTGTCTTGGCCATGTCGTTCGAATGGACAAAAACGCTCCTGGTCTGAAAATATTCAACGCGCGCCGCGATGCTGATAACAGAGGAAAGACCAGGTGGGGAAGGACTTTGCTTCACTTGACATTTCCAATTGGCGTCAGTTAGCAGAAAAGAGAAATGACTGGCGTGCTGTTTTGGACTCGTCCAAAATCGCTTAAGCTGATGCCAGATAAAACTTTGTAGCTTTGCGTGACATTTACAAATTTGCCAGCAAAGCGCCAGACGCAAAAGGTATGCCACAATGAACGCCAAGAAATCAATTTTGCACTGCTTTTTTACTCGTCAAAATTGCCGTGGATTTAAGATATTTTGCTTTAAAATTATCAGCAATGTAATTGAGTTTTATGTTTCAGCATGAATACTCGAATTTGGACGAAACAAAATAAATATTAAACCGGCTGATTGTCAAAGCGCGCAAAAAGATGGGAGTTGGCCATCTTTTCGCTTCGCGCTGCAGCTTCAATGATCTATGTGGCATGCTTTGTGCATTTTCATACAATTCATCTTAGCTGTCAAAGCGAATCTGTCACGTAAAGCGAAGCAAACGTTTTATGTGGCATCAGCTTTAGGTGGTCAGCGTTGCCAGGTTGATGTTTGTAATGTCATTTGGACGTTTTTTATATCCTGTTGACGTTTGGACGTTTTTTGTGTAAAAAATTACGTTTTTTAACTTCCCAGTAATTTTTCTCTGTTACTAGGTCTTGAAGTAGAACTGATTTTGAATTATTTTCTTAATAAATCTTTCCAAGCTTTGTGTTTTGCAGTAGCTTCAAAAGACTTAAATATGATGCATACAATTGCACATTAAAAACCAAATCAGGAAGAGCTGATCTCTTGCAACACGCTCGCTCGCAAGAGCATCAAAAAAGCTGTAGCAGCATAAAAAGCAGAAAAAAGTAGGCGACTTTTTTAAGACGTCATTGGAAATGTAATGAACCCAAAAAAGGCAGAAGTATTGCTATTCTCCTTTTTAGCATAACGTAGAATAGCATTTTCGAAAACCGACCCCCTTACCAAATGTCTACAAAGTTATTAAAAATCAAAAATTATTAAAAATCAACCCGATTCTTTAGCAACTTAAAACTTGTACATTATTGCCCTGAAATTTAATGGGCTATCAAACTGCGTACTCAAAATAAATTCTAAAAAATCTAAATAAAAATTTGAAAATCTAGCTTAAGCTTTGCAGCTTTTTAATTTTTGCACAAAGTTTGAAATGTAGATTTATGTTTTGTTTATTATATAACGAGCTTGGCGTTTATGGAAAAATATAACAAACATTAAATAAACAAAAGAGAAACAGCCAAAAGCGATCAAAATGGTGATGACTTAATCAGCTATTCACAAGTGTATGTATAAAATGATTTTTATATTAACGATCTCAAACCAGTTTACAATGAATTTTAAATGTGCTCTGTCAAAATGACATTTTAATATGCCTTACGTGCATATGTACCTTTGTATACAATAAAAGTTTAATAAGAACAATTTTTTGTACATTCATTTGAATAAGACGTTTTTGGGTGGGAAATGACGGTTTTCAGACCGAGAGGAACGTTTTCTCATGCCAAAGACCTGGCAACACTGTAGGCGGTTACAGCGCCAATAAAGAAGAAAACATTTTTTCATAAACTTCATAATAATTTTCATAGAAGCTGTAAAAGTATTTATTTGTTTGATTGTGCATATCGTCGATGTTTTTGCAAAACCGCCTATCGCCTAAACCGCTCGACCCTATTAAGCTGGCATTTCAGGGTACTATTTTATATATATACAAGGAAAATTTGAAAGTTAGGTAGGGGCTCGAGCACCCCCCCTGCCCCTACCTGGCTACGCCCATGGGCTCTCCATTGACAAAGTGGCGGCCGTTTTTATTTCACTAGACCAACTTTAGCGATTGTTTTGAATAAGTGTATTAAAATATTAAAGATTAATGTCATTTATTCTATATTTAGCATCATATCATTTATAAAATGTGTCTTAACAAAGCTGAATCAGATTTTCAGAAATCCAATAATGAATCCAATATGACGTCTAAGAATTAAAAAAATTACTGAATTTTCATGAAATTGGGTATTTAGTGGCTATTAAGTTAATATGGCGATCAAAATTTCCAAAAAAAAATCAAACTTGAATAACTTTGGAAATGACGAATTTCATAAAAAATAAAAAAATAAAATCCTTAAAAAACTGTTGGGGCCTAATAATAACAGTAATAATAACGGTATTATTACATAATTTGATCATAAATTCATTTTAGGTATGTATATATTTAATATATAATAGATCAAATTTTGCTAAACAAATACATTGTGTTACTCAATCCAAAATGACAGTTGATTTGACAGTTTTCAACCGGACAAGTTTGCATGTGATACAGAACTCGAGACCTGTGAATATAGTACGTTTAATTCTTAGGAAAGTTTTTGTGCTTTCTAGAGAAATTGACAACCCCTTCGACAGTTGTAAACTCTTAAGGTTTTTATTTGGCGTAAATTCGTGACTTGCATGTCTAAAACTACTGTCTTATCAGTAGCTTTTTAAAAAATATCAACTCTCAAAGTTTAAATTTAACATAAAATTCAAGGTTTTAATTTGACATAAAATTCGTGATCAGCATGTCTAAAAACGAACCAGTGCTATTTTCAAAAGGATTCTCTTAATTTTAGAGAAAGTGACAGTTGATTTGACAGCTGTCAACCGTCAAACAATAAAATTTATGGTCCAAAACTTACCAATACAACGTTAGGATACTGTTCCACTACGGGTTTTGAATATTTAATAAAACAATTATCACCATTTCGGAATATTTCATTTTTAAACCCCAATGGTAACCAAAAACCAACAAAGAATCAACTTTGTTTCCAATGCGCTGATTACTCTAGCGATGCGTTTCGATAACTTTTCGGATGCGTTTTGGAAAAGTATACATTGTCAACCACTTGTAGTTCGGCGTTATTGAACATTAAACTTTGTACGTATGCAATGCAATTGACGTTTTGGAAGTCAGCCAGACACACGAATAAAAATGTTTGTATACACGCATTTGTACATATGTATATACATATCTACATTAGAGTGGTCCGACAAAATTTTTTCCGAAATAGGGTTCGGGGCACCTTCCAACATTTTTCCATTTGCCGAAAAAGGTGGTGGCACCAAACTTCACGTGTCTAAGGGTGCTCATGAAATGTTTATATTTTACTCTAGAATTATGTTGTACATATCGACCCCTTTGCGCGAAATCATTGTATGTTCCATATACACAAAAGTATTTTGTGCAAAGTTAAAAATTTTAAATTAAAGAAATTTTGAAAAGTAGTTTCTGTCACATACGACAATTTTGCGGCAAAGGGGTTGATATACGTATTAACCAAACAATTGATTAAAAATAAATTATAAAATAAAATAGATAGGCACTTACACATATGTTAGTGTTTGGCCGAGCTTCTCCTCCGATTTGTAGTATGCGCCATGATATTGTGACGCAAAGGGGAGGGACCTACAGTTTTACGCCGACTCCGAACGGCGATTGTATTTTTATGGAAAGCTGTTTTTCATGGCAGAAATACACTCGCAGGATTGCCATTGGCTGTCGAGGGGCGACCGCTATTACAAAAAAAAACTATTGTGTTTATAATTTTTATTTATATTTTTTTTTATATTGGGTTTTTTATTTTCGTCTGTTTCAAAGGGATTCAGTAGCGCATTTCAAGACAATTGCAATTCTATCATCAAAATATTCAAATACCTTCCCTTTAAGAGCCGCCGAACTAATGTTTAATTCATACCTCTTCGCAGGTATTATGCGGGATAAGAATGGATTTGTCAATTAATAAATAGGGATAATTTTTTCTTTCAACTCTATCACAAATTAGGTTATTCCCTTATTTACAATTTGATTGAAAATTTAGCACTTTTTTTATTGTTTAACGTAATTATAATATCGTTTTTATTTAATTAATTTATACATTAAATATTTATAATTAAATTTACTTAATAAATTCAACTATATTTTCTTACGGACTAGAAATACTATAAGATTACATTTGGTTAAGCAACAAAAATACTTTTGAAGCGTCTTCATTCAGAATCCCACACCACCGCACTGGTCATCGTGGCCCCCTATGGGGCTATCACCATTACAATAAGGAACAAAGTGCATACAGAATGATGCACACATACAGTCACAAATAAATTATCTTACAGCATGCGGATGTGAATGCCTCCGCCTCACACACATTCGCCTAACTTAGTTTGGCTTCTTGCCATTTAGCCTATCTTGAATTTCCTGAAGACTCAGTCCTTTGGTTTCCATCACAATGAAGAGGACAAAGAAGAAGGCAATAACGCAGAAGATAGCAAACAACCAGAAGGCATAGTATGAACCCAAAGCGTCCAGCGCTGGGTACCAACGTGTCACCACGAAACCTAGAGTCCAGCATGTCGAAGCGACGATCGACGAAGCGATTGACTTAACATTGGCTGGGAACATTTCACCCAACACCGCCCATGGAAGTGGACCGAAACCAATGCAATAGACAATGTTATACAGTACAAGTGCAGGTACTGGCAGCCAGCTAAGACTGCTTGCATCGCCAACAGCTTGAACGTAGAAGAAGGAGCCCAATGCAACCAAGCCAACGCTCATGAAGAATGCCGAAATCAGCAAGATAACCTTGCGACCCATACGATCAGCAATTATAGGTGTCAAACCAGATGAGCCCACTTGCACGCAGCCTACAATAATGGTGGCAATGGCTGGATCCAAGCCGGTGTTGGCACCCTCGAAAATCGATTGACTGTTGAAAAGCACAACGTTGATACCGGACAGCTGCTGGAAGGCGACCAGACCGGCTGAGATGATGAGTGCTTTGCGGTTGCCGGGATTCTTAACAATGTCAATAAAGGTGCCCTTATTGGCCATCGACTCCTCAACTTCACCCTGAATGGTAGCCATCTCATCCTGAACAATATCCAAGCTCTGGCCACGCAAAAACTGCAGAGAATTCAATGCATCAGATTTATGGCCTTTGCCAGCATAGTAGTAAGGACTCTCGGGCATGAAGAAGAATACGACATCGAAGATAATTGGTATAACAAGACAGCACCATTGCAAAGCCATGTAAGATACATATGGACCGATAGCGTACACGTACAGAATGCCAGCTGTAGAGAGGAAGAATGGAAAAAATTTGGTTGCGAATTAGTACTTGTGATTTGAAGGTCATAACGATAAGAGAATTTAGGTAAGTACAAGATCAGTGTCACTTACCAACAATGAACAGCTGCATGAGTGAGCCAGTGGCACCGCGTACCGCATCTGTCGCAATCTCACCAACATACATTGGTTGCACAGTCATAACAAAGCCTACACCGAAACCTTGAATGAGACGGCCAAGTAATAACACCCATACTTGGCTAGCGACCATCATGCAAACTGAAGCGACAATGAAGAAGATCGAACTGGAAAGTAGCACCCATTTACGGCCAATTCTATCGGCAAGTGGACCAGCAATAAAAGGTGCTGTAAGTAAAGCAAATTAATAAGATATAAAGATATGAACGGGTTTATTTTCTTAACAAACCTGCCAAGGCACCCAATGCCAAAATCGATGAAATCCAGGCATCGTTTTCAGATGTGATTGGCGTATCTAGTGGCGAGTCGGTGGTATCTTGCGCCTTCAATTTGGGTCCTACTGGTGACGTCCAGCCGAGACAATTGCCGACCGCAAAAGCTGATAAATTTGCTGCAAAGTTAAGTATGAATAAGTTAACTTTTGTTGTACATAGAAGCCATAGGTACTCATAATACATGCATATATGTATGTATTTATATGTATATGCATAAGAGTTAATCAAATAATGAAAATAATATCAGCGCTGAGTAGTCAAGAACTGTAGTGGNATAGAAGCCATAGGTACTCATAATACATGCATATATGTATGTATTTATATATATTTTTATCAGACTCTTGAGAGAAAGGTTGAGTTCGATAGAAGTGTAGCGTTATGGACTGATTTACGGAAAGCATTTAACCTTTAATTTCTAAGTGAATTGGTTTTTGTGTATGTATAAAGAAAAACAACTTGAAAAAGTTGGCTTGAATTTTTGTATGATAACTAGTTAGTGAGTCCTTTTTAAACTGAACGAGCTCAATTTGAGATATTTAATATGTAGATATATACATATGTTAATACAAATATTTAAATTTTAGTTTATGATTTAAAATAAAATATCCACTTTTAAAATTATTTTAGTAACGTAATTTAAATTTCAGTTTAAATAAACAAAAATTAAACTTGTTTAATAATTATTAATGAATGTAACTCCTGATCCCCTAACTAGAANTTTTAGTAACGTAATTTAAATTTCAGTTTAAATAAACAAAAATTAAACTTATTTAATAATTATTAATGAATGTAACTCCTGATCCCCTAACTAGAATTTTTTTTTTTTAATTTCACTCACCCGCAACAGCAGCGATGAAAATTCTTATAGTCTTAACTGGCTCCATTCTGGTACTGCGTGAATATCCGTCGCTTATCTGAAAAGGACTTACTTCACTGTATTTCACTTGTGAGTTGTGTTCTTGCGAACTCATTTAGTAGTAGAGTGGTGATTATGTATGAAGGCACAACGGCGTTAACTAGCCAAAGCTATTAGTAGCTGAAATTAATGAGAGACACATTTGATGATAAATTGCTGTTATCAAACAGACATATATGTACATACATATATGCGAGTACATACATACATACGTACATATGTAATGTGATATAAGCAATTAACGCTGAGTCTGTTGTGAAGTAAAGTACATAAATTACTCTTTGAAATTCCACAAGTGCTAATAAATTAAAAATTTCATTATGATTTAAATTGCGTACATACATATTTCTATACATAATTACAATAATTATTATAATTGACAATATGTCACAAAATAATACCTATAGAGATTTCCACAAATAATTGAGCGATTGAGTGAGTGTGATAAATCGGTTTCCAAAATGATAAGAACCTATGTACATATTTTGGAAATTCCAGCTGAACTGAACTCCTGCTAAAATATTTGGCATCATATGGGGTATTAACTCAAACTTGTCTATAGCGCATGATCGTGCGTCTGATGATCTTGATATAATTAACTCTAAACTCTTAGGCACAGGATCAATGAGAATTTTTTCAACCACTTCTCTTTAAATATTTCTGCAAAATTTGAGCAAAAAGTAGAATAAAGATATTTTTCTGAAGCTAATTCAATTTCGTACATAGTAAGTAATTTATTAATTATTTTTCACCCATAAATATTTCGTTCATGGACCGAAGTACCGTGTTTTTAACAAAAATCGCGAGAAACTTTAGTCACAAATAATTTCATAAAGCTACCTTTTTTTTAAATGAACAAAGTGATAGTTTTTCACCCACAAATATTATTGCTGGAAGAACGTTATAATAAAAAAAAAATAGGTAGATATGCATAAACGGCAGTCAGCTCTTCCTGTCGGTGGTGTTCAATAAGACAGTTTTTCTTAAAAGCAATTTTACTCATTTCAATTCCTTTTAGCAACTTTAACAAACATACACCCTTTGATCAAAGAAGAAACCAAACTAGGGTTTGATATATTTCTATATTTTTTTTTTAATTCGTTAAGCTTTTTTACCACATTTTTGAATTTTGTAGCTATCACGTTTTTCCAGCAAATGCGCAATATGGATATTGACTTACAGTTAGCATAAACAAACCAAAATAGCCGAAATAGCAATTTCAAGGGTATTTAAATTTTAATAATTGTAGGAATATGTTTATAAATAATTAGAAGAAAATTGCTCAACAGCAAAAAGCTGTGAGTATAAGCATTTCTACATATCTATATTTAATATATTCATAGGAATGAACGTAATACGTATGTATGTGGTAGAAGAATACAACAGGGAAAGAACTCAGCACTAAATATTAAGGTGAAAAAACACATTGAGCTACCTGAACAATTTTGGAACAAAAAGCTAACCATTAACGCCTAATTTATTTTAAACGTACTAAAATATCAGTACACTTTTACATTAAGGCAAATAATAAAAAACACAGTCTGTGGCCTTCCTGATCTAGTTATTTTCCATATTAAAATTCCATAGAATTCCATACATTACTTTTTTAATTGTATGATTCAATACTAATCAATATAACAAATTTGTTTTTGTTCACTTTTTTTTACATACTACATGGCGCAATTGATAAAGACGCCTCTAACTAAATAAATCAGTAAAGAGAATGAGTCTACAACGAATTGATTACAGTATGCTCACACTTCAATTGATAAGCAATGGAAAAAAGTTAAGAAGCTATGTTTTAATCAACAATAAATGAACTAAAAACAGGTAAATAAACAAACAAAAGTCAAAAAAAGTTAGCTGAGGCAAATGCTGATCTTAAAGCGTTTTGGTTTCCGTACAATTGCAGGCTGTTGGTAAGTATTTACATATGTACTAGCGATGTTGCGAATGTGGAATTTTAGAAATCCGCAGATGCGAATGCGGATGCGAATGTTTAAAAGCTAACAATTTATGATAATTAATTTATATTTTTTATTGAAATATTTTTCAATATATGGCTTTCCTCGTTTGAAAGCTATTTAAGTCCTCTTTCATTTGCCACCAAACTTGTTTAATTTGGATAAGCGGTTTGTTCATTGTCTGGAAAGGACTCTTATTTCGGAATAAAAAATATTTGCCAAGTTTAACTCGTAAAAAAATAACTATAATTTCCGGTCCCTCAATATTCGCATTCGCAAAAGATCCGCATTGATTTTTGCGAATGCGAAAGCGAAAGCGAATGTTAAAATTAGTGCTGAAGCTCCGCGGTTGCGAATGCGAATGCGAATGTTCGCAACAACCGTGATATGCACATATGTATGTAAATAGAGTCGAATAGGCCAGCAAGCTACCTGCGTCAAAGCATAAACTAGATTAAGCATTTATTTGTACAATAATTTAAGATTTTTTATCAGACGCGGCGAGATGTTGCACATACATCCATATGTATGTATGTATGTATGTGCATCTTCATCTATCTGTCGTGCGCAGACAATGTAAATAAACGTATTATAAAAATATTTTAAGCTTTTACTTCTGAAGTAGCTAAATGGCTATTTTTGGAAATCATTTTAAAACCCTTGCTATTTGTAGGATTTAGCAGAAATGCTTCTATTTGTGCAATGTCGCAATGTTGAGTGCTTAGTATTTATCTATGTTTGCATTTGCTTAAAATAAAGTGGCTTCGGTCGAATAACTTAATACCTCATTTAGATAAGTAAGCTGATTCTCACAGTGTCAATAAAAATTTAGAAATTACAAAATCTCAAACACGTTTCTGTCCAAGGCGAATTCATATAAGGTGGTAGCGGTAGTACAAAAACAAAAACTAACATGTCTTTTGTTTTCGTTTTCGGTACACAAATGTCAAATTCCAGCTATTCTTCGCTCAAGGAGGAAGAGGGAAAGAAAATGCCAACACTCTTTCTTTCGCATTCACTCATAAGGAGTTTTGACATATGTGTACCGAGGCGAATTAAAGCAGCTGTTCTAGCAACACCACCTTATATAAATTCGCCTTGTTTCTGTCTGAGCTTGGTAAACTTCATTGACACTAAAAACCGTATGTATGTATGTATACCCAAACATGCATAGGTATAATAATTTTAAGTACATTTGTATATTAATATGGCAAATTCCAAGATGAGAACTTTCAAGTTCAAAACAGCAGGTATATGTATATCAACGATCAAGTACTTCAATTTAAATTCTATGTCACCAATTCATGTGTATCTATATATGTAAATGTATGTACATTTGAGTACAGTTAGTGCTTGTATTGGGGTAAGGTATTTACTTCGCGATCACATCTGGCTTCCGGACAACATTTGTTGATTTGTTTGTCACTTTTAACTGATTCATCGAACGCGATTGACGTTTACGATGTGCCAAAAAATGCGTATGTTATCGCATACATATGTTTTTGTTTACTAACTTTTGCTGTTGTATTAACACAATTTCGATTAGCTAGCGATAATCAGTGCGCGTAAAAAAAGCTGAATGGAAAAGTTTTTACACATACACATTCACATACATAAATATATATATGTATGTATGTATGTAGCAGGGTCAGGCATGCGCATAGCTGTCTGAAATGTTTACGTGCATACATATGTATGGACGTGAGTGCAGTTGTGAGTGCGGGAACATGTGCGGCCGAAGAATTGTTGATTAGGCGGACACTAAGTGTCCGATCGACCGCAGGGTTTCTTATCATTGAAGAAATCTACAATCTCAAGTATGCGATAGTATTGCGTATATACGTACATTCATATGTATACCCAATTTTGATTTATGACGTTAAAAAGTATGTAGGTAAACACATATTTTTAAGAAAAAAGTATCTTACCACATTCGACACAGATAAAGTCATACAAAACATATGTACGTTGATGAACTTGAATTGAAAATGCAAACTAAGTGAAAGGAGGTCTAATCATTTGCTTTGTTTTTCGTCAAACTTCCGTGCAAATGCAACTACAAATGTGTTTGAAAGCTTGAATTTTTTAATTTGAGGACGCTTTTAAATAAAATGTACGCTTTCGCGGTTGAGATGGCGGAGGTTTTAATAAAATGTTACATGCACATTTGGACACGATCAATTGACAATATTTAACCTCAATCCGGAAAAGTTTGTGCACTGTTAAGTAACCATAGGCGAAATATAGATCCGTCACAATATACAGCATACAAATAAACTGTCAATGCAATGGACTCCTCCGTGTGAACGTATGCACCAACAAATACCAAGGTCGGTCTGTACCCTAATAAGGTCACATCGACTAATTTGAAAAAGGGTAAATCGATACCCGGCGGATAATATTCTGAACTAAGTATGTACATTAGTTTTAAGCAAAAAGAATTGACACAAGCGCCTTTTGCTGTGAGCCTTGACAAAACCCATTATTCGAAAGGTAAACAAATTTGAAAAAAAGATTGAATATATCGAACTAAGCTCAAACTATTTTCAGAAATAAAAGCTTTTTGTTGGGAACAATATATTGAAACAAAAATAACTTTATTCCTCTGTGCAAAATAAAAAGTTTTACTTAAATTATTTTATAAATTGTGAGTGCAAAGAAGTTTTAGAACAAAAATTTAAGTTATCAGAAAAATTCTACATACGAAAAAAATTAAAATTCTCGACAAATGGTAGCACATCAAAATGTTTACCAGTTTTGACTACTTTTCTTTAGGTTTTTTGAAGTTTTATTACTTGTACATAAAAGTATAGCTCTTTATCTAACAAATACTATATAAATCTAATTTTTTTTTACTGACGGTGTTATGTTACTTTGATTGGAAGAAAATGCGTGATACCGTCAGCAAAAAAATTATCAAAAAGAAACGCGATTTTTTAGCAACTTTAGTTTTTAGTTTTTTTTAGTTTTTTCGTGCCGAGTAGTGGAAACTTGCACTATATTTTACTAGAATTAAATAAGCTATAAAACTGCATACCAAAAATTATTCTAGAAATTAAAATTAAAATGCATGGAATTGGGTTAAAAAGGTTGTGGAATTTTTATAATTTTTGTACAAAGTCTGAAACATAGATTTGTATGGTACTTCTTAGACAAAAAGCTATAATTTTATGTAAAAATAATGAACCTTCAAATAAAATCAAATGAAAAGTTGTCAAAACTGGTAAAAATATTGATGTGCTATCGTTTTTCGCGGGGTGTACATTTGTACATATAACGGGTGATTTTTTAAGAGCTTGATACCTTTTTTTTTAAAAAAAACGCATAAAATTTGCAAAATCTCATCGGTTCTTTATTTGAAACGTTAGATTGGTCCATGACATTTACTTTTTGAAGATAATTTCATTTAAATGTTGACCGCGGCTGCGTCTTAGGTGGTCCATTCGGAAAGTCCAATTTTGGGCAACTTTTTCGAGCATTTCGGCCGGAATAGCCCGAATTTCTTCGGAAATGTTGTCTTCCAAAGCTGGAATAGTTGCTGGCTTATTTCTGTAGACTTTAGACTTGACGTAGCCCCACAAAAAATAGTCTAAAGGCGTCAAATCGCATGATCTTGGTGGCCAACTTACCGGTCCATTTCTTGAGATGAATTGTTCTCCGAAGTTTTCCCTCAAAATGGCCATAGAATCGCGAGCTGTGTGGCATGTAGCGCCATCTTGTTGAAACCACATGTCAACCAAGTTCAGTTCTTCCATTTTTGGCAACAAAAAGTTTGTTAGCATCGAACGATAGCGATCGCCATTCACCGTAACGTTGCGTCCAACAGCATCTTTGAAAAAATACGGTCCAATGATTCCACCAGCGTACAAACCACACCAAACAGTGCATTTTTCGGGATGCATGGGCAGTTCTTGAACGGCTTCTGGTTGCTCTTCACTCCAAATGCGGCAATTTTGCTTATTTACGAAGCCATTCAACCAGAAATGAGCCTCATCGCTGAACAAAATTTGTCGATAAAAAAGCGGATTTTCTGCCAACTTTTCTAGGGCCCATTCACTGAAAATTCGACGTTGTGGCAGATCGTTCGGCTTCAGTTCTTGCACGAGCTGTATTTTATACGGTTTTACACCAAGATCTTTGCGTAAAATCTTCCATGTGGTCGAATAACACAAACCCAATTGCTGCGAACGGCGACGAATCGACATTTCACGGTCTTCAGCAACACTCTCAGAAACAGACGCAATATTCTCTTCTGTACGCACTGTACGCATTCGTGTGGTTGGTTTAATGTCCAATAAAGTAAACTGAGTGCGAAACTTGGTCACAATCGCATTAATTGTTTGCTCACTTGGTCGATTATGTAGACCATAAATCGGACGTAAAGCGCGAAACACATTTCGAACCGAACACTGATTTTGGTAATAAAATTCAATGATTTGCAAGCGTTGCTCGTTAGTAAGTCTATTCATGATGAAATGTCAAAGCATACTGAGCATCTTTCTCTTTGACACCATGTCTGAAATCCCACGTGATCTGTCAAATACTAATGCATGAAAATCCTAACCTCAAAAAAATCACCCGTTATTTTTTGTCAACCGTTATTTTTTCTTCAAAAAATTCAATTTAGGAAGTAATGTTTTTATACAAATCTAAAATCCATAATAATTAAGAACAAATCGCAAGGATCAAAAACAAAAAAAAATCTATACGAATTTTTTGTTAATCGATAATAAGTTTTCCTTCCCAAATTTTTACAAAACAAAAAATTTTCAAAGACGTTTAAAATGAAAAAACTTTTAAGTATAGAAATAGGTTTTCATAAAACAAATCAGCTTCCTTCCCGACTTGAAAAAAAAAGTTTGTTTTGTAGTATGTGTTCAATTTCATATCGGTGTATGTAAATATTTATATTGCTGCAGATAATAGCAATTTTTAGTTAGTAACTGTCATTTCCTTAACACTCAGAAGATGGGCTTTAAATAAAACATAAATATTTCGCAAAATAAAACTAACTAAATAACAAGGAAAAAATTCTGACTCTCAAACTTTCAGAAATGTGTTGGAATGCCATTTTAAAAAATATATATATGTATATGTATATTGAAATTTTTGACGAGTATAATATTTTTATACACTAATTTAGCACATTAGTGAAACACGAAGCAACAAGAGCTTTAGTAACCAATATTTTATTACATTTTTTCAGTGTTTAGATTCTTATTCATGATATTTTGTAGTAATTTGCTTTCTAGTTCATTGTTTCAACATTACATACTAAAGTAATATTCAGACTTTTGATTTTTTGTTTGCAGCACTTTTAAATGATTTGCAATTTTGCCATGCCTCCACTTGCACCAGCCTTATTGCTCTGTGCTCTTACAAACGTCGAGCAATTAACTATAATTGCAAGTAAGAATTTTTATAAATCACAACTAAAATAAGCTAGCCGTTTAATTTCGCACGCTGGGCAATTGCTGTCATATGCAAATACATACATACATACATATGTAGTATGCATATGCACAAATATATGTATGTAGGTAAATATGGATGTATAACCGCATAAGTCGCGTGTGCAATGAATATTAAGCATTTTAAGTCAACAATTACTTGAAAGTTTCAAGCTTGTGGGAATCACATAAAATAAATGATGAAGAAAAAAATTTAGGTTTACTATATTTATACTTAAATAGATGCAATTAATGGACTTAAGTGTTTGATGCAAAAAAAAAAGAATTCGCCTCCATAGCATAGCTTACACAAAAAAATGATGTTCCGTGATACTAACTAAGTACGCTTGAACGGACGGAACACAAGCAATTTGTATGCAAAAACATTTAATATAAATGATTCTCACTTTTTCTTTCTTCCGCACTGATATCCTTTTCTACCGTTGCACTTGTTAAATTTAATGGTTTACTGAAATTATGTGTATCCTTAATATCCTGCGCACTCTAAGTGGAAGCCATGCAATATCGTTCACGTTTTATAATCTTTTATTTTGAATTTGTAACAACGAGTGTTTCGTACCTTAACGCTTACTGAGACAAAGACCACCCTTATATGGTCACTATTCGTACCGTAATGATACGATTGGGGCGATTTCGGACGCAATTTAAATGCTTTTTTCGGCAGCGCATCTCGCTATCAATAAAATTTTTATACATATGTACTAGTGAACGCATTACATTGCGTCGCTGCAGATTAAAACCGGCGCGATCGTTAACGATCGTTATGCACGATCTCTCACTAGAAACATACACATACTACATATGCATTCGTTGATATGGGTGTGCATAGGAATATGTATATAAATATGTATAAGCAAGAGTATCATAATAAGTGCCTGCTTAAGCTTATCAGTAAGTAGCGTGCCGCTACAAATGCGACGGCTCTGCGTGGCTGCGACGTCGACTGAGCAATTGTAAATATATTTACATATGTATTGCATATACTACACACATAGTTAACATCCAATCAGCGATCGTTTGGCATATTCGTCAAGTTCAATTGGACCGAAGTTGTGATAAGCGTGTGATAAGGGCGCATTGCGTAGTGATTAGTAAGTCTAGGCGAGCGTGCTCGAAATGCAAGCCTGGATGCGTATGTATCTACATACATACATAAGTATGTACCTACATATGTAGATGAGTAGTTTTAATTGGGGTAGTATTTGGCCGAGCGGCTTAAGTTTTTGGCTGACAATAAAGTTGTGCTAAGCTTCGTGTACATTTGTCTGTCTATATTCTACTCTTATTTCAATAAACATAAGCACTGTTATAAATGTTTTTTTTTTTTGTAGAAACCAAATCACTATAAGCTATTTATTATATTTGCGTTTACCTGTTCGCATAGATACTACATTCATATAAAGAAAGACAGATAAAATTTTGTGAAAAGCATAAATCTTAATAAAGTCCTGTACAATAATCCCCTAAATACTAAATAAAAGTAGGCGTTCAAGAAATTAAATACTTTGACATCGTAAAAATACATATGAATGTACAAATGTTACAGCGTCAATTAAGAAAAAGAAGAAGAGTTTCCACATTTTTTAAAATTATAAGATCTTCACCGTTTGTTGGACTAAAAAAGGATCACTCCAGCGCCTTCGTCTTGACCTGCGGGCTGTGTCGGAGCCCCAGCCCCTAAACTTAAACGTAGAATATGTGATATTATTTAGATCCCATTGAAGTTAAAAACGGTACATGAAATATGCGTTTTGAGTGTATTGAATTGAATTTAATAAATCAATATGAATTGCAAAATATTAATACTAAGCAATAGAGAAGCAGTTACACATTAACTTTAATCATATGCCATGACGTGTGTCATTATTTCAATTCAGTTTTACTTCCTTTCATACTGCAGAAATTTCTATTACATTTTATATTAGCCTAGGTCCCCGTATTAGTATTCTTCTTCGTGTTCGTGCTCGTCTTCGGATTTGTGCATTAGTTAGCTAAGACTTTTGAAACAGCTGGCAACCGTCCTAAATATAGTTAAGAAATAAACCAATCACTGGCGTCTGATATTGGCATACCTACTTATTGCATGTGCATGATGAATTAAGTTAAGTTTTTTTTTTAAATAAGTGGCTAACTTCCCAAATACAGTTTAGAAGTAAGTAAAGCCTTTTTAAACCCATTTCATTTGATACCCATATTTTTAATAATTTCTTTAAATTATTAAACAAAATTAGTTTACCTTTTTAAACAGGTGGCAACCATCCTTAATATTCTAAATATTCAAACAGAGGATATCTTATGACTATCGTTTCACGTCATATTTTAATATTTGATTTAACTTATGCATACTTAAATTAAATTTTAATTTTAAAACAGGTGGCAACCCTATTCAAACTACTTTAAAACTAAAATCTTGTTAAACCTTTTTTGACTGGCACACATACTGCGTTACGTATTTAAATTGTGTATCTAATTCCCTTAATTCAAGTATAATTTAGGGTCTAAAACATATGGCAAGCTGGAATTTTAACCCATGTCAATTTATACCCTTAGTCTAATAATTCATTTGACTTATTAAATAATTTAAGTTTATTTTTTTACGCAGGTGGAAACCCTCTTTAATGTTCTAAAAATTCTAAAACTAAATATTTCTGAACAACCTTCGTTTGACGCTAATATTTCAATACTTTATATATGTATGTATATAGTAATTTAATTCGACTTTTATAACAGATGGCAATCCTGTTCAAATTTTGTTAAAGCTTTTTCGTCTGGCACTTGTATTGTGATACATATATAATTTATCTAACACTCTTAACCCAAATTAAATTTAATTATAGAATTAGGTGGCAACCCTCCTAAATGCAGTTTGGAAATACAGTTTCTTCAAAGCAATTTTCATTTATATTCAATTGAAGTAATTTATTTAACCTATTGCTTATATTAGTTCTAACTTTTTAACAAGGTGGCAACCCTCTGCAAAATATTTTCAAATCACAACCTCTTTCGTTTGACGTCCATATCAGGATATACATTTAAATTTTCTGCCTTTATTTAAGTCGAGCTTGCTTTTTGAAACAGGTGGCAACCCTCCTACATATAATTAAGGAATAACGCATTTTCAAAACCATTTCAATTGGCACTCATATTGTAATAATTGATTTAACTTAAAAATAATTTGAATTTATTTTTTTTTAACCGGTGACAACTCTTTTTCAAAAAATAAGAAGTTATTGCACATCCACAGGCCAAGCCCTTTAATTTAATACCTCATTTTGTAAAATCGAACGAATTATGTATTCATATGTACATGGTCTCTTACTTGCAACGGAATGCATCTGCAAATCGTTACACCCCACGATCCAGAAAATAAAGGTCGCGCCATTCGCAGACCGCTAACCCTCTCTTCGTCGATTTGACAGCATCCACCCAATCGCTGACGTCATAAAATACTTTTGTTTAAATTCACTGTTGCCAACTTGATGCTTTTCGCACCAAATTTAGTGGGTATTCAAAACGCGAAAATTTTTGAGTTTTGCGCTTGGTGCGTTTTTGGTGCTTTTGTTTTTAGTTTGAAGACTTCAAATTAGAAAATCTTAAAAAAATTGAAGCAAAATTTATAGCAATCGTAAGTGTGCTAAGCAATTTTACAAAAATTTAAACAAAATCATGGCAGTTACAATCATAAGCGACAACGAAATATGTGCAGCGCCTTCAATCATGCCAGAAGAAATCGACCGTTGTGCAAGAGACATTGATTTTTATTAATTTGAATCGGCATCCTTACAATTAAATTATGTATTTATATAAAGTCCATAAAATACACCAATAAAAATTTGGTGCTTTTTCAAATTCAAAACTTGGCAATACTGCCTTTTGTTCGATGCTTCTTCTCTTTCTTGTCGAGTTCGTCTTGCTCTCTCATTCTGGTATAATTTGACGTCACGGCCAGTTGCTCTCAGCTCGATTGGCGCAATCTTGTATTCTATCATTCTTGGTTACACCCTAATTCACGAATGAAAAAACTGTCTACCTTTGGCTGATGAAAATAAACCATTGCAGGTAGCGATCAGATACAGACAACAGATCAATTAAGCACCAGGGGTTAGAAGTTACAAAGAACGTTTTGCAGTATCACCGACGATATGTACATAGATTAATACCCGTAAAAGAGAAACAGATCCACATTAAAATTCGTTTCGTAATAAAACAAATTGCTATTTTATTTTAATTTTAGCCTTAGGATGCTCAATATTTGTTGAATTTATATAAAATTTGTACACAATAATATTTCCCCCAAAGAACCTATATCCCGAAAATGAAGGTTATATTTGCAAATCCAAAGTTGTTAGAGCACTTTAAAGGCTCAAAATTTACCCCAAAATAAGCCAATATTTACCGTTGTTTTTACGACAGACACCGAATCGGTTACTTACATAAATGTACCAGTCGATAGGTCTGGAATTTTTTCTTTAAAACGGCATACCTTTCTTTGAAATTGCTTCACTAGTTTTCGTGTGGAAAGCGTTTTCGTGAAGCTCTAAAAATTACATCTACAACATTTGAGCATAGCCTCCATATCGAAACGTAATACTAGGTTCACATATAAGTAGATTATCCTCATTTTCGAGCTTAACACCCTAATCTGTAATTATAACAAGAGATTAGCCATATAAAATTCGTCCCTTGTTAATCTGTAATTATAAAATAATCTCAGATTTAACCGATAACTTTTCGGTGTCCATCCTAGTTTTATCGATTGTTTTTGCGAAAAAGAGGAGAAATGGCAAATGTAAAAGTAAACAAAAATGTACGCCAGCAAGTAAAAGAGGTTTGTAAAGGTATTTTTAATAAAATGTTAAGTTAAAATATATTTATATTGCTTATTATAGCAGAAAAACGTGATCACGGTGGCACAGAGAAGAAACATAACTTTTCCTTGAGATGTGAGAATAACAAGCACAACAAATTTGACGGCTAATGATCTGAGATTTGCCTGTGTAAACGGGGTGATTAAAAAACGAGCTTTGATTGAGAAAATATTGATATGTGAACATAGTTTAAGACGTATTCTACGTCAAAATGAGGTTCCAGGTGAAAGAATATGGTCTCCGGATGCGCAACAAGGGTTTTTTTTTTTTTTTTTTGGAGTAGGGTGCTACCTATTTTAAATAGCACTTCACATGCAGAAATCTGTTGGGTTTTGATTTTAACATAAAAATGGTATAGCAGTGCAAAGTATTCATAAAGGCCCGTTTACATAGAACTTTGGCGTTGCGTTGGCGTTGGCGTCGCTTCAACAGCTGACTATGAATACATGAATTCAAATGCAGCCGTCCACATAGCCAAAATTCGACAACGCTCACGCCAACACAAAGCAAAAAGATGGCCAACTCTCAACTTTTCGCGTGCGTCGCTCGTCAGCTGTTGCGAATAAATAAAATTATGTGAAATATTTTTCCTTTTTAATCAAGTGCGGGCAAGAAATATCGTTTTTAATGCAATTATTGATATGAAATATTAATTTATCTGTCGTTAATATGTTAATTTAGTGGCCCAAGGATTCGCCGCCAAGCGTTCATTGTAGCAAGCATACTTTTAACGTGCGT